AGCCCGGTGCCGGGCGGGGACGTGCAGCAGCTGCAGGATGATGGGGAGGCACTGGCACTGCTGACAGGCCGTGAACGGGCCAAGAAACGGGGGCCACCCCTATCTCCTGAGGTACTCCTTTGCCCCAGCGTGCTGGAGCCCACATCCAGCCCCGACTGCCTGGTTGTCACCATCCTGGAGGTGCCAGAGGACGTAACCCCACCAGAGAGCCTGGGCAGGCTGGAGGTGGTGCGGCTGTACCGCCCCACGAGCCTGGGTGCCCTGCCCTGCCACGGCCCTGGGCAGAAGTGGCGCTCCTGGGGGTGGCAAGCCGTGCCCCGCTTCATTCTGGGCGTCCTCTGCCTCCTCTACTTCAGCTCCCTGCCCTTCGGCATCTACCTCCTGCTCATCGAGCACCACAGCCTGGGCATCATCCTGGTCAGTCTTGTGCCCTCCACCCTCCTTCTCTGCATTGTCTACAGCCTCTGCCAGTGCCTGTGCCTGGAGGTCTTTGGGTTCCCCCACTCCTGACCCTGCGCAGCCAACCCCTGTACCTGAGACAGGCAGGATTTGGGTTCCTTGGGGCATTGTCCCTTGAGGTACACATGTCCTCTGACCCACAGCGTGCTGCACCTGGACCATGGGGAGAAGCTCAGTGCCTGGTGCCTTCCCACGCAGAACAGCACTGTCCTTTCCATGTGGGTGCTCAGACTGGCTGGAGTGGCTGCAGGAGCTCATTGCAGCCTACAAGCATTTGGGCCAGACCTCAGCCCTTGTCCTCCTCCTGCACAGCGGACAAAGAGCAGGAGCCAGGACTGATTCCAGCTGAGAAAACACCGCGGCCGGAGGGGCCCCAGCAGGAGAGGGACGGGCAGAGCCCGGGGGCTCCTGAGCCGGACTGGCCCCAGCACGGCTCCGTGTCCATGGTGTAAATAGTACTGTCTGTGGCACCCACGCTCCTCGTGGGGCTGCTCCCATCGCATCTGTGTCTCTTTCTCATGTGTGAATCTCGTGTTCGCTGACATTGTGTCCCAGAGGGGAGGAGTGGAGGAGTTTCTTTGGTGTGTAAAGATGTCTTTGCAGCTATTTTGTAGTCATTGTGGGTTTTTTTTCTTTGCACAGCCTCCAGTCTCTATTTAACCTCCTTGGGTTTTGTTTTGTAAGGATTAATTTAATACTGCTAACCATTTTATTACTTTTATTAAGAAGAATGAAGTCTATTTTTAATCTCTGCCTTGGACCTGCCCTGCTCTACAGGGGCTGCTGTCTGGAGTACTGGCAGGAAAGTTACCCTACCATCTTTGCTGACACCCCAGCATCCCCACCAGCATCCCCACTGCACACAGGCAACACCAGGACACCCAGGACAGAGTCACATTTATTACTGTTTTTTGTCCCTCCCACCCACATCTCCCACTCTCCTTGTTGAGGCAGCTGCTGGGTCCCATGGCTGTCTCTCCTGTCACGCCCTTGGGGACAGGACGTGACTGTCCCAGGCCTATACCTTCTCCAGCACCACTGGCACCCCCGGGGGACACTCGCTGTTTCTGGGTGAAGATTCCAGCATCTCTGCCACACTCCAGATCTTGGGTTTCTGGGGCTGCTTGTCCTGCCCAGGGCCTGTCATCACCTCGGAGCTGCCCCCACACCCATCCTGCACAGGGCTGGAACTGGGAATGGGGACAGCAGCCGATGGGACCCCCTCTCCCTCGCTGTCCTCGCCATCTGAGGCGCTCTGTGTGGCCCAGCTCGCCTTTTTCTCTTTCTTGAGGCGCCGGCGGGCATTGGCGAACCAGGTGGAGACCTGGGTGAGGCTCATCCGGCTGACCACAGCCAGCATCACCTTCTCCCCCTTGCTGGGGTAGGGGTTCCTGGGGTGCCGTGCCAGCCAAGCCTTCAGGGCCCCGGTGCTCTCCCGTGTCGCCGCCGCCTTCGCCCGCCCCGGCTCTGTGGGCAGCCCCAGGGGCACCTCAAAGGGTGCTGAGACCTGGAGGGGCACAGGGGTGTCAGGGTGGGACAGGGGGGCCGGAGGAGAGGGGCTGTGGGATGTCAGGGCTCGGGCCTTTGTGTGTGGGAGAGGGCAGAGCTGTATCCTGCCCGTATCTTGCTGTATTCCCCGTTTTCCTCTCCCATGTGCACCCAAAGTGCCAAGTGCAGGACAGTGTGTGGGCAGGGGCAAGGAAATGCCGGGGAGGGGCAGGGTCCCCGGGACAGCAGGTCCCCAGCCCCGATTCCAACCACCCCACACAGTCCCATCCTGGCCCCAGGAAAGCCCCGCGTCCCGTTCCTCCCCCGGAGCTGCAGCGCGGCACTTACCAGCGGTGTCATGAGGCTGAGAGGGGGTGGCAGGAGGCTGTACCCGGCCAAAACGGGACAGGGGCAGGAGTAGGGGTAGGGGCAGGGCAGTAGGGCTTGGGGTGGCCCCCGCACGGTCCCCCAAGGCCCCCCGCAGCCCCCCAGCTCTTGTGCTGGGCTCCTCTCGCCCCGAGGTGCTGCCATACTGCAGGAGAGGAGCCGGGGAGCTGCTCCCGGGTCTTTTATAGCTGCTGGGGTCTGCAGTGACTGACAGCTGATTAGGGGGTATTAGCACCCACGAGAGCAGCAGCAGCATCTGGGGCACCTGATCCCCCCCTTCCCAGCTACTGTTGGGCAGGGACTTGCAGGGACCGTCCTTGCCTGCCTGCCACCAGCCAGAGCCCTGGTCCCTCCCAGGCCCCTGGCTCAGCACAGCCCACACAGCTCCCAGGGATGGGGTACAGTGGCACCCCGGGGCTGGCACATGGGGCCCACCGAGGGCCCCAAGGACACCCAGAACCACAAACACACAGCCAAGCTGGGGCTTTACTGCAGTGTTGAGCTGTGTCCCACCCATGACCCCAGCCCTGACTTGGGGCTGTGGGTGGCCGAGCCCCCTGTGCTGTGGAAGGGTGGGTTGGAGGGCCAGGGGCTGGTGGAAGAATTATAGCCTGGTGGGAGGACAGCAACCCATGCTGCCCCATCCTGCTTGTCCTCACCCAAGCCCCAGCACTGCCACACCTGCTGCTGGATTCCCAGCAGCCGTGACAAAGGTGAAGGGTCCCACAGCCCCATGGACAGTGGGGACCCCTGCAAGGCACTGGGGGGTTCCTGTGGTTGGCACAGCAGGGCAGTGGTGGGCAGGGCAGTGGTGGGCAGCTGTGTGAGGGACCCCGAAAGCCCACCACCCCCTGAGCCACCTGCTCCTGCCACCACGCCTCCCCACTAAGGCTGGGATTATCCCACAGGTTGTATCCGTCATTAAATACCGACTAATAACGCTCTCAGGATATTAAATATGTAACAAACCCGCTTAGCGCTGGCCAGGACAGGAAGGCGAAGGTCACCGGTGCTAATGAGCCCGGCCACATCCCTGCATCCCTGCAGGCCCTGGTGACAGCACAAGGTCCCAGGGTGAGGTGCCAGCACCCAGAGGTCCCATGCCCCTGCACTACCCCATGGCCAGAGCCTGAGCAGCGCTGGAGCTCCCAGCATAGAGCAGCCAGAGCTCAGGTCCCATCCATCCCACAGCGGGCTGATGGTGTGCTCTGGGCAGCCACGGGTGTGGAAGCCTCAAGCCAGCCAGGACACGGGTGCTGCTGGCTGGGACCAGCCCTGGCCATGGCCCTGCAGTGGCCCCATAACCTTGTCCCCACGGGACTCGTCCAGCCCTAATCAGCACCATGGATCTGCTTGATTAGATAATGGGGCTGTAATCTAGGAAAGCGCCTGCGGATTGCGGCAGCACCCTGACCCTGCTCAGCACAGCTGGAGAGGGAGGGCCATGGCCGCCGGCACAGCAGGCGGACACAGCTGGACCCGAGCGAGCCACAGCCCTGCAGGCACAGCCACACACCGCGCACAGGCAAGGCTGGTGTGAGGGACAGAGCCATAGCTGGGACAGCCCCATCAGCCGCAGCCACCCCGGGGAGGTGTGGGGCCACCCACTGCTCACTGCCCTGCGGGTCCAACCCGGGGCAGGTAAATCAGCCGAGGGTTAGGGATGGTCCCAAGGAAGAAGCTGTGGAGGCAGCCATGCTGTGGCAGTTTTGTGGCCCCGGTGCCACCACCTGACCATGCATGAGGGCAGGGAGAGCCCAGCAAAGATCACCCACCCCGAGGGGCTCAGGCTTCACAGAGGCCCTCACCGGGCCAGGGTGGCTCCCGGCCTTTTTTCCCTCCGTGGATAATCAGTTTAATGCAGGAGCAGAGAACTAAATCTCTGCGATTAGCTGTTATAATCACATGTAAATAGGCCCAGACAAGCCGCTCAGGAGGGTGGTGTGTGGCTCGGGACAGAGTTACACGGGATTTAGGCTGTTTACCACTCGATTAATTTCATGACTCCAGCCCCCAGCCCACCGCTGTCCCAGCTGCCTGGCTCGCTGCTCAGGAGTCAAGGTCACTCGGGCGGGAGGCAGCTGATAGCCCGGGGTGTCTGCCAGCAGCGAGCGGCCCAGCACAGTGCTAGGCTCCTGGACCCGAGGGACTCAGCTCCAGGGCCATGCTGAGGCTGGGCTGTTGCATCCCTGTCCCCTGGACCCCCCCAAGCAGGCACACACACGGCTCTCCATCCCTTTTTATTCATAAGCATAGTCAAAGCTTGAGAATGTCACAGCTGAACCCTCCAACAACCACCAGCGGATTAACACAAGAGTCCATTCCTCTTCAGAAGAAAAATAAAGCATCTTCTGCCTCCTTCTCCTTGGGTTCCCTCCAGTCCAGAGCCCTGCTGCCGCCTGCCCGCAGGCTGGAGATACCACAGGAGGGCTGGCTGCTGGCACACAAGGACCACTGGCCCCGTGGCTGCAGGGAGCAGCGGCTGTGGCTGCACACACCTCATCTCTGACACTGCACCACACAGCTGTGCCCAGCCCTATGGCTTCCCTAGGACCCCCGTGTGCTGGGCAGATGCTGATCCATGGCTGCCCATGCAGACCGTTCAGGAAAAGGGGTTTCAGACCATCCAGTGCAACAGGCAAAGTGACTGTCCACACAAGGGCTGCTCAGCAGTCTCTGGGGGGAGGCACAGGATCCCCACGGCACAGAGCCGAGTGGCAGCGTGTCCCTGGCTGTGTCTGTGCCACCACGGCTCAGGTGTGTCCCTCGCAGCCCCGGCTCAATAAGGCAACTGCTGGCTGGGGTGGCTGCTGCCAGTGCAGGGTGCACGGAGCGCTGCTAGTCCGACAGCGTGATGACATCGTAGTGGATGGCCGGCTGCAGCTGCTGCATCTGCTCTGCTGCTGCCTCGGCTGTGAACACGCCCTGGGCCTGGGCCATGGCCGCATCCGCCACTGCTGCAGGGGACAGGGGTCAGTGCTGCCTCCCACCGAGGGCAGGGGGAGCCGCTCCCTACTCAGGGCTATCCTCCATGTTCCTCACCTGTCCCTGGAGAGGGACAAAAGGCCACTCTGCCCTTGTGGGGCTCCAGCAGGGAGCCCAGCTCTGCTTTCCCCTGTTCCACAACTGACAGGCAGGGACCAGCAAGTATCTGCCCTTGGATACCATGGCTGGCAGCAAAACAGTGATTGAGCCTGGTCTTCCCAGCCCTCTCACCAAGGACTGCTGCACAACTCGCTGCTAACCCCAACAACAGGACTGGCACCCCCAAACCTGGGAGGACAGACCCATCTGGCACAGGGCTGTGCAACTACCTGAGACAGCCGAGTGTGCTGCTGCTTCCAGTTGTGCCTGGGTGACGAGCTGCTGCTCCGGTGACACGGGCATGTACTGGATCTACAGAGGAAAACAGGGAATGCCTGAGGGGAGGGTTCCTCCTGGAGCTGCTCCAGCCGTGGCTGCTGCACTCAGGCATCAGCCCATGAGCTCGCTCTATTTCACATATCCCTGTCCAACTGCAGGCTCAGACTCTCCAGCTCCTGCCACCACGCCTGGCTCCTTACCTGTGACTCCGGGAGGAACTGGCCACCCTGCTCATACTGGATGTGGGTGATCTGACCATCCTGTACCTGGGGACAAACAGTGAGGCTGTGGTAGGGTCTGAGGGTGTCCAGGCCCCTGACAAACAATGCTGTGACCCAGAGCAAGCAAGAGGGAGCAGGAGGGGGGCCCAGCCTCACACATGACACCCCATGAGCCCCACCCACCACGTGATGGGAGCAGACAGTCTGAAGCTCACCTGGATGTGATGTCCCTCTGGAACAACAACATACTCTTGGGGAAGCAAGTGTGGGACACCTTCCTGGGCAATAATGTACTGAACCTGCAAACATGGGAATTCAGACTCAGGAAAAACATCACCACTCCTCAGCCCCCGTCACAACAGCTGGATCTGGTCTGTCTCCTGTGCCTCTTTCTACCACCCCAGTGCCTTCAGCTCTCCCTGTGGAGCCCTGCTCTCCCCCACTGCTGCCAGCTCTTCCCACTAGACAGTCTCCCATCCTGGGCCATGTCCCCTCACCTGGTTGTCAGCAGTCACCAAGTGCTGTACTGTCTGTCCATCAGCAGTCGTGATTTCCTGGATGTAGGCTGCCTCCTCCTGCAGTGTCAGCAAGTTCCCAGTGTGGTCAGGGGGGCTGGATCTGACCACAGCCCCCCAGGAGGCCCCCACTGTGAGGAGCAGCCACACAGGACATGAGCTGAGGCCAAGGGACCCAACTCACCTGGCTGGTGACGCTCTGCTCCTGTGCAACAAGGATGTGCTCCTGCCCCAGGGCCTGCTGCAGCCGCTCGGGAGCCAGCACGGCCTGGCCAGCCTGCAGAGCTGCTGCAACACAGAGAGAGGCAGTGGGGACGCTGCTGGGGACACTGCCAGGGCTACCAATGGCCTCACACCCCTGTGGCCACTGCCTGACACCTGCCCCAGTGAAAAGCACAAGGCAGAGGCACTCTTTGGGCTGTGCTCACACAAGGTCAGAGTTAAACAACCAGGGGCAGAACACACCCTCCATATCAGAAGCTCAACTCTGCTTCCAGTGTGAGCTGCTCCCACATGTACTGATCTACCAGGACCTGTCTGGAGGGAACACAGGCCCCGCTCATTCTGCACAGTTGCTTGGCCCAGCCCCTTGGTCTCTGTCTCCATCAGCAATTTCAACTGCAGGAGGGTCCTCCTAGCCCTTCAGCCCCACCTGACCCACAAGCTGGGTGAATCCTGCATGGGGATCCAGATGTAGGACACCCACAGGTCAGCCCTAGGCCCAGGGACATGTCTTACTGTGTAGGGTGGCCAGGGTGTCCTCGTTGCTGTTCAGGATGATGGTCTGCTGGGCAGCAGCTGGCCCTGGCCTTTTACCCTCTGAGCTGTGCAAACGCTGTGTGTGGAACTTGAGGTGCCCATTACGGTTGAACCTATGGAGAGGCAGGGTGAGGTGGAGCGTGCCACAGGCAGCACAGGATCCTGTGCTCGCAGCAGGACATGGGGCCCATAAGCACATCCTACAACATGGCTGTCCCCTCTCCCAGCATGTTCCCATCAGTGCCCAGGGACTGAACCCTCCTATGCAGAGGTTCCTTGAAGACAAAGTTCGGTCCACCTGCAGCAGGAACCATTCCCAATGGGCTGATGCTGGGGAAGGTTTGGGGCAGACAGCTCTGCCAAGACTCTAACTCCTCTTGAGCCTTGTGGAGCTCTATGGGATCCCCCAAATCAGGATCAGCCCAGCTCCAGCACTCACCTCTGCCCACAGACCTGGCAGGCGAAGGGCTTCTCATTGGTGTGGGTCAGCATGTGCCTGCGCAGGTCCTTCTTGTTCTTGGAGGCAAAGCTGCAGTGGGGGCACTTGTGTGGTCGGAGGTTGGCATGCTGAACCATGTGGCTCTGGGGCAGAAGGACAAGTGCTGGGTCAGAAACCCCTGTTTCTCCAAACCCCCTGTTCCCAGGGCTGCTCTGCATCAGGAAACTTACCCGGACCTCTGGCCAGAGTGTGGCAGTGAAGGGACAGTCGGGACACTTGAAAGTGCTGGGCCCAATGTGGGCTCTCTTGTGACTCTCCATCTCCGCTCTCCCTGTGAACATGGCTGTGCAAATCTTGCATGAAAACTTTTTGGCCGTGGAAATCTTGCATGAGAGCTTCTTGGCTGTGGAAACCTTGCATGTGAGCTTCTTGGCCATGCCTTGGATTGCAGGCCACTTGATCTTTGTGGATGACACTTCGTGCCCCTCGGAGGCTGGGGACAAAGACGAGTCGTTCTGGGCCAGGCTGGTGACACACTGCACCACGGGCCACTTGATGCCGGCGGGCTCTGCCTCCTGGCCCTCCGCAGGTGAGGAGAAGGCAGCGTCCCCACTGAGGGGCTGTGAGAGAAAACACCAGTCACACCTGCTGCCACTGCTGCATGGGAAGGGGGGAAGGCTCAGATCCTTACCTCCATGGCCTGGAACTGGTTCCCTGGGACACTGGATGACATGATGTAGTGATTGCTGTGGTCCTTCAGTGCCTCCTCTGTCATCACAGCCCCGCTCACCACAACTGTGTGGGAGGTCTCCACAGGACTCTCCTCCTCACTGCTGGAGAGCACCAGGTCAGGGATGGTCTGCCTCCTCCTCCTCACCACTAAAGCCTCCCAACTGGAGACCAGAAGTGCCTCCCCCTCCCCACTCCTCCCGTACAGCTGACCTGTACAGCGTGGCAGGAGCCTGGATCTCCTCGCTGATGGGTGCAATGATGCTGTACTCTGCTGCTCCACTGAAGGGGATGGTAATCTGCTGCAGCTCTGAGCCACTCAGGCTCGCTTCCCCATAAGCCTCCTGCACAAGTGTCTGCCCAGGCTCTGCCACGTGCAGCATCACCAACTTTTGCTGTTGCTCCTTAGAGTCCACCTTTGCCTCCTCCTCCTCCTGTGCCTGCAGATCACAGGGGCCTGGTGTTTCTCTTGGATCATCTGGCTTCACCACTGCCACCTGTACAAAACAGCAGCTCAGCCAAAGGGGCAAGGCTCTGCAAGACACCCCTGCAGCAGAACAGGGCTGGGAAGCCTTCTTGTGCCAGCCCCCAGCAGGCCTGGCTCCCCTTGACTCTGCCCACCTGCAGTGAGCTGGTGGCCAGCTCCCTCTGGGTGCTCATGTTCAGCAGGAGATCCAGGGCCGTCTGCGTGGCCAGCTCTGCTGATCCAGCCACATCTGGGGGGATCAGATAGGAAGGGTTAGGCAGGAGCTCACCTACCTCCTTCCTCATCCCACCCCGTTCCCGAGTGCTCACTTGCCTTGTTCATAGATGATGGTGGCCCCTTCCAGGGAACCCTGCGAGAGAACAGAGGGCTCTGCACCTGCAACAGCCTGGACCGTGTGGCAAGTGATGGGGCCGAGAGGTGCCTGTGTGAGAGAGAGTGCTGACAGCACAGTGGGCTCCAGCACCAGGAGGAGCTGGGACGAGGCCCGGCACTCACCGGTGGGCTGGCCTCTGGCTCAGCCGGTGCCTGCACCTGGCTGTGCTGCTGCTTCAGCTCCTCAATCTGCTGCAGGGTGAAGAAGGGCCGGCGGCGGCAGGGCGGCTCCTCGGGGTGCCTCTGTGCCCACTCCTCGAAGGAGTCGGCGTGGCGGCACTGCACGTGCAGCCGCAGGTTCTTCTTGTGCTTGGTGGTGAAGTGGCAGAACTCACAAGCGAACGGCTTCCCTCCTGCAGGGCCCGGGAGGGGGAGTCAGGCAGGGAAGCCCCAGGGGATGGGAGGGAGAGCAGGCAGGCTCTGATTGTCTCTGGGAGATTGGGGGGTGCAGGGCATCAGTCAAACAGGTTCTCTCACCTGTGTGCTTGACTGCCATGTGCGAGACCAGGAAGTCCTCCCGGAAGGTGGAATATTTGCAGACGCTGCACTTGTAGGGCTTGTCATTCATATGTGACAGCTGGTGGTTCAGCAGGACCTTCTTGTCCTCACAGACATAGTCACAGAACTCACACTTGAACCTGCCAAGACAAAGTTACCTGTGACACCTGCTGAGGGGAGCAGGGCACAGGCTCTGCCCAGGCACACCGGGCTCCTACCTGCGGTTGGCAATGGCCTGGATGTGTGTCAGCAGGTGCATCTTGAAGGTGTAACGCTTCTTAAAGGACTTCCCGCACTGGTGAAACAAAGTGAGGCAGCACTCACCCCCTGCCCTTCCTCACCCACTGCCAGCCCCTCCCCAGACTGTTCTCCCCATTCACCTTGTCACACATGTGTGGTTTCTCTGTACTGTGTGTCTTCATGTGCTGCGTAAGCCTCTTCTGCATGGGGTAGACACGGTTGCAGACAGGGCATGGGAAGGAGTTCAGCTTTGGTGGCTGGATGGAGAGCACAATAATGGTATCATCCAGATGAGGTCACCAGTTTCTTTACCCTCTCCCCACTGGAGGACCTGGGTTGCCTTTCCTCAAGAGATCCAGAAACAATGCCCCCAACAAGGCACTGAGATTTTGTGACGACCCAGATGTGCCTCTTTCCATATAACAGTGCTGAGATTCAAGTCAACAGAATATTCAAACTCACCGGATCAGCTCTCTTCTTCCTGAAAAAGAAGAAAAGTCCCTTGTGTCAGCCACACCCCAAGCTTCCTTATACCCAGACACCAAAACTCTCCATTTTGGAAAGGGTCAGGGGATGGGGCAGCCATGGCCACCCTCCCAGGACAGGAAGAACAGTGTCAGTGCTGTTCAGTCCCCAGGACTGTGCTGCCCTCACCTGTCCCTGCTGTGCACCGTAGAGTGCCGAATGACATCCTTCTTGTACACGCTGGTGTAATTGCACTCCTCGCACTTGTAGGGCTTGCTGCCCACATGGTTGAACATGTGCTCCTGTAAGAGGCAGACCAGGGCCATGAGACCTGGGGCTGCCAGGCAGCCTGTGGGTTTGGGGCAGGGCAGATGAAGCTCACCTTGAGGGAGGACCAGCGCCGGGAGCGGTAGCTGCACTGAAGACACTTGAAGAGCTGCGGGTCATTGGCCTCGTGCGAGTTGACGTGGAAGCGCAGGTCATCGTGTGTGAGGAACCGCGAGCCGCAGATCCGACACAGGTAGGGCCGCATCAGGGGCTTGGGGGACTTGTAGTAGTACCTGCAGGAACAGGAGCAGGGCTCAGGGCTGCAGTGGCAAACGGGCTGGACCGGCCCTGGGCACAGGCCAGAGGGCCCAGCACACCCCTCACCTGCGCCCCATGTACTTGCGGTATTTCTTGCCCAGGAAACGGCGGGAGGGCCGCCCACGCCGCCGGGGGATGACGTCTGCATCCTCGGCACCGGTGTTGGAGGAAGGGTCCTTGTTCTCAGAGTCAGACTGGCTGATACTGGGCTCTGCCAGGCTCTCACTGGTCCCATTCTCCAGGCCGGAGGAACTGGCTGCTTCCGAGTTCTGCAGCTCCCGGCTTGGTGTGCTCTGGGACGTCACCAAGGGCTCCACCTCCCCTCCTGCTGCACAGAACACAGCACAGCACCATCACATTCTCGCTGTGGCTCCAGAAGCACCAGTCCCTGCTTCACCCCTGAACAGGGCTGCTGCCTCCCAGCTCCCTCACCTTCAGGCATGTCCTGGGACATATTCTCCAGACGAAGCAGCTTGCGGGGCCTCCCTGGGCGCCGGCGTGGCCTCTCCTCGCTGGAGGTGGCGACAGTGCAGCCATACTTGGGCAGTCGCCCCCGGGGCTCGTCCTCAGCTGGGTTGTAGTCACTGTCCTCTGCAGGCAAGTGCCCCAAAACATCAGAAAAGATGATGGGAAAAGACTATGCTATGTAAGATGTGGGGAGGGCGAGTCTTACCTTCAGGATCATCAATAGCACCAGCATCCATAATATCATCATCTTCTTCTTCTGCGGCCTCCTCATCCTCAGTCTTTGGAACAGCTCCCACCTTTTGTGGTCGTCCTTTCTTCAGAGCCAGAGCTGAACCCACTGCCACAGAGAACAGGGTGAAAGTTCTTTACCAGACTGTGCCAGAACAGGCCCTTGTGCTCCAGCTCCTCTCTTGTTTCTTCCCAGGAGAGAGCAGAGCCTGTCTGCAGTGAGATGAATTTCCCTGAGCCCTTGGCACACACCTGGCTGGAAGTGACGCTCCTTCATGTGGTTAATCAGTGTTTTCTTAGAGACACTCTTGTACTGACACATCTTGCACTTGAACTGCTGCACCACCACCACTTCCATCATCTCTTCCAGGGCCTCCAAGTCTGGCTGGTCCAGCTCCTCCCCACCATCTGCCTCCTGGGCTCGGTTTGGCTGTGCAGGCAGCTCCAGCACTTCCAACTGCCCGGAGGGCTCTGAAGGGCCAGGCTGGTCAAGGCACGTGGAGGTAGGTCCATCACCAACAGCCTCTATTGCCAAGCTATTGGCTAGAGCAGAAGTGGCCATCTGGGACACCATGGGGGCACCTGAAACACCAAAACCCACTCAGCCAAGACCCTCACCTGCATCCAAGGCTGCACCCACACAAGGGGCACAGGGCTGAACACAAGCTCAGGAACAGGCTCCCAGCAGGAGTGTGGTACAAGCACCGTGGCTGATACAGCTGGGACACCCACTCCAGGCCCTGCTCCAGTGGCACAGATGGCCACCATGGACAGCCCAGGGAGCTCCCTCACCATCATCAGGGCCTTGCAGAATGAGGTACTGTGTGGTCTCTGCCCTTCCATCCTCTGCGCTGGTCACGGCGATGCAGCCTGGCAGGGGGAGGAGAGCAGAGTGGTGACTGTGAGATCCAGGGGCTGGAGAGTCACTGGGGCTCCCTGGTGCTCTCCCAGCTCAGATAGAAGCCTGAAGGTGGGAGGAGGGTCTGGCTCTGAGGTGGAGCCTGCCCTGGGCTGAAGGAGCAGCTGGACAGAAGGAAGGCTGTCCAGCAACATGAGCTCCTCACCAAACCCCCGAGTTACCGCAGCAAGACAAGAAGAGAAAACCTTGCTGACCAGCTGGACTCAATGATCTTAGAGATTTTTTTTCCAGCCTTAATAATTCCATGTCCATAGTTCCCCCACCTCCTGAGGCCTGGGGTAGTAGCTCCCTCCCCAGCCCACCCAGCCATCTCCACACGGGAGCACACACTCACTCTGGATGATGTCAGGCCCGATTGTGGACTCGATGATTTTGTCAATGGCAGAACCCAGGTCGGAGGAAGTGGATGCAGTGGAGTCTGACACAACTATGGCTCCATCGGTGATGACACTGGAGTGCACCAGGACCTGTGGGGACTCTGACACCATGATGGACTGGCTCACAGTGGAGACACTGGAGACCAAGGTGGATTGGGCAATAGAGGATGAGTCTGGCAGGTAAATCCTTGGAATGGCATCTGTGCTGGAACTGCTCTCTGAGACCTCTTCCTGGCAGATAAAAAGAGTCCAGAAGAGCTCAGGTGAGAGACCTTTGCCAGCCCAAGCGCTTGGGGCTGCCAGCTTATGCAAATGACCCGGAGTATCACTGCAAGATTTCCAGGAAAGGCATCAGAGCAAATCCTTTGGTACTGACAAAAACCCGGAGCTGCAGGGCTGCTCTTGCTACCAAGGGGAGTTCTGCTCCTCGGACTGACAGGCAGGTGCTGGACGAGAGATATAACAGTGCCTGCCAAGGCCGCAAAGCTCAGTCTGTCAGAAATGTCTACAGAAACCCCCAGGAACCAGAACCGCGGCCACCCCATCCTTCCCACCGGCACCTACCAAGGAGACCCCGCTGCTGTCGGAGCTCTGCCCCACGCAGGAGTCAGCGGCCCGGGAGAGGAGCCCGTGCCCCGCGGCCGCATCGCTGCTGTCCGCCGACACGGCCACCGAGCTCCCGACGCCCAGCCCGCTCTCGGTGGGCTCCTCCCGCGCCGCCTGCGAGCTCGCGTCGCTGCTGCTCTCCACCGCATTCTCCTCCATGCCCGCCCTGCCGGGGCCCGCTACGCTCGACCTGCGGGAGGGCCGCCGCCGTCAGGGCCGCCGTTCACTTCCCGCCGTCCCCGTGCCCCGCGGGGATCCGGGCTGGGCGGGCCCCGGGGCCGCCGCGGGCCCATTCCCGGCGCTCCGAGCTCCCTCACGGGGGTCCCGGCGCCACCTGGCGCCCCCGGTCCCGGCATGCCCCGCGGCCCCACCCGGCGTTTGGCCGCCATCTTGCCGCGGGGTCCCCCCCGCCGCCTCCGCGCGCGCGCACACGGCGGGGCGGCCCCGGTGCCGCCGGGGCGGGGGAGGCGCCGCCACGCCGGGGCGAGGGGGTCCCGCCGCCGCCGCCCGCCCGCCGACCCGCGCCCTCACCAGGTGCACTGCGGCCCCGCCGCGCCCCCGCCGGAGCCGGCACCACGGCGGCCGCCATGCCCCCCCCGCCCTCTTGCCGCGCAGCGATATGGCGGCGCTGGCCCCCCACGCCGGAACTACTTACGGCCGGCCAGCCCCTGCCCCGCCTGCAGCGCACGCCGCGGCGGCGATGCACTCCGCGCCCCGGCCGCCGCCTCTGGTGCCTCCCGGGGCCGCCTGCCTCCCGCGGGAGGAGAGAGATCTCGGCGCCCCGCCGGGGACTACTTTCCCCGCGGAAGGGTCGGCGGTGGTGGGATCTGCGTCATGGCGTCAGGAAGCGGCGCCCGGGCCCTGAGCGTCGGCGTCGCGCCGGGTTGCGCTGGCCACGTGATGGGAAAGCGGAAGCGGCGGCGGGACCGGGCTGGGAGCGGGCTCTCGGTGCGGGCCCGGCGTTCTCTCCTCTCCCTCCGTTTCCCGCCTGGCCCGACCCGGCCCGGCCCGACCCGGCCCGGCCCGACCCGGGAGCGCGTTCCCCCTGCCGAGGTCCTTACCTTGGCTGAGCCTTGCAGCCCCGGCGCTCCAGCTCCCGTTCTATAACCCGCGGCGGGCGCTGAGACCGGCGTGCCTCGTGGGCTGGGGCCGCCCATCCCTGGAGTGATCCAGGCGGAGCCGCGGGACCTCCGTCTGGCGATTCCCTGCGAGGCCGTGCCGCGGTCAGCCCGGGCCCAGCCTCAGGCTGCTGAGCGCTTTCCCCCTCGGTCTCTGGCGGGGAACGGCACCGACTGTCCGTTTGTTCTTGGTGCCAGACCTGCCTTTTTCGACGGCAGCTCTGCATCTGAACAGCAGCCACCTTCCGATGGGCTCTCGCTCACCGAGTTCTGCCCTCCGGGATGGTTTTCCCCAGAGCAGATGGCGGCGGGCACCCGATTTGTCTGCGCTGGGGGTGCACAGTCTGGGGGAGCTCCCGGAGCGCTGCCGGCAGTGGGGCATTGCTGGCACCCCCTGATGCCCAGCATTCCCTGCAGGGATGACCTGGGACCTTGCTGCTGTCCCAGCTCCCCCCACATCCTCCAGCTGAGCTCAGCTGTGCGTGGCCTGGGCTCGGCGTGTACCCCAGGGTGATGGCTTTAACAAAGCCTCAGGTGGCTCCCTATCCCCACTGATATTTTCTCATGTTGCAGTGCTTTATTGGGAACGGCTCTATCCCGGTTTTTTCCTGGAGGAAAGGCAGCTCTATTGTGCCTGTGCTCTGTCGGGGCTGGGCCGGAGTGGGCTGACCCCGGCTCTGGGTCCCTGTGGAAGAAACACCCGGCCCGAGGGGGGTCATGGCTCTGCATCCCAGCCGGTTCCGGAGCCACTCAGACCAAGCCAGCCCGCAGTGCAGGTCGGGGTGGGCAGTGCCAGGCCGGTCCCGAGCCGGTGCTGACACGGTGCCAGCGGCAGGAGGACAGACAGTGTCTCATCTGGCACACTCTGTGAGCAGGACGGAGCCTGCCAGAAATCCGAGCCGATGGGTGCTGGGCTGGATCAGTACTCTGCAGCATTTGGCTGTGGTGCCTCAGTGCCTCTGCTCGGGGCGAGGCAGGCGGTGCCCGGATCCAGCCCCCACAGCCCGGGGCTCTTCCCCGGGGCTCTGCGCGTCCCCTGTGTCCTGTCCCAGGTGACAGTTCCCGGAGGCACCGTGTGTCCGGCAGAGGCAGTAGAGGAGCCGCACCGCCAGCTGCTGCGTGTGCACCTTCCGGCTCTTTTTCAAGCTAATTAAATGCATCCTTGAAAGGTTTATGCCCTCATCCATCACGGGCAGACAGCAGCGGTGAGAGCCATCCCCGGGCTGGCGGTGCTGCCGCAGCGCTGCTGCCAGTGCCTCAGGGCTGAGTCCCCACATGCGCCCGGCTGCTGCCGTCACTGTCATGTCACAAACGCAGAAACACCGAGGGCTTGAGCTGTTTTTTTGTCCCACTACTGCTTTTTAAAGCAGCCCTGTGTAGCTCAGTGGGGGAAGTGGAGTTGGGGGGGGTGGGAAGGAGGCGCTCCTGTGCCCGATGTCCCCTCTCCGTGGTTCTGTAGCTCACACCGGTGGAGCCCAGCACTGCCTGGGACCGGCTCTGGCTGGGTTAGGATTGCCCTTGTGCCCCCTCTTGGGGGACGCTCCGCGTTCCTGTTGGGGAGGGGCAGTGGTGTCAGAGGAACCCCTGCAAAAGCCGCCTGCCAGGTAGAGGAAGCTGGATGGATTTGTGTCAGACCAGCAGGTTTCCTCTTTCTGCCTTCAGTCAGCTGCCGTGTGAGACAAGCGAAGCATTTTCCCAACTGGTGATGGCCGCAGGGCAGAGCAGCCTGAGCTCCAGGGCCGCAGGGGCTCAAACAAACCCTTCTGCTGCTGGCTCGGCTGATGGAAAGTTGTGTCAGGCTTCCCTGTCCCCCTGCAGAGGTGCCCCATGTCCTCTGTCTCGGTGAATTGTCCCAAGCAGAGGTTTGCTGGGATGGGTAACCTGCTATTTTTAAAAATGCTGCGTGCCCCCAAGCGGGGTGAGCGGGGGATTTCCAGAGCACGGCTCCCGTCCTGGGTTCTGCAGGCACAGCTCCTTACTGATAACTCTCTGCTGTTGTGCCTCCGAGCCTGAAATCACTTCAGAGCCAAAGAAAACACAAAGAAATCTCAGCAAGCGGCTTAAAGAGAATCCAAAAATGGCTGCAACACGTGTTGGATGTGTGTCCAAATACCTTGGCGGGGGGAGCAGCAGGTTAAAGGCCTTTTGGGATCGGGCTGAGGAGACAACGCAGCGCTTGTGCCTGGAGGACAAAGCTCGGGCTTGGGCGGAGTATGAGGCTGCTTTTATCAGGCTGCTTGATGGGCTGCTCTGACAGGCTGTCCCACTCCTGGGGAGGTTTCCCAGCTCTTCAGCCTGGGTGCAGCGCTGGGCAGGAGCTCCCATCAGACAAGCTGCCATTGAGGCAGGGTGACCCTCAGTAGGGCTGTCCCTGCTGGTGCCCCTGGCCAGCCGGGCTGCCCCCTCCCCAGGACAGTTTGCTGAGCTCCCGCAATGGCTTTTCCATGAGCTCACAGCCTCGGTCACTGTTCCAAAATAGGAGATGGTTGTGCTGAGCACGGTGCCCAAGGCAGAGCCTCAGCTCCCCCCCCCGCAACCCGAACCCCGGACTTCCACTGCCGGTGATTTTGTCATCCGCGCTGTTTGTTCCTCCTTGTTTTCTTTCTTCTTTTCAAAGAAAACATTGTTGCGATGTTTGTGTAGCTGCAGGGCACGAATCCACATCAAGGCTTGTATTTATATCCCACCTGGGAAGGGCAGTTGCATCAGCACATTTTGTAAAACGTTGAGCAAAGCAGCCCTTGCTGCAGGAAATGGTTTTTCTTCACACCAGATTGCCTCACGGCCCTGTGTCTTCCCAGCAATGCTGGCTCCTGGAGAAGGCTCCTGGGGCACTCGTGGGGATCATTCCATGCCAGGGTGGCCGTGAGAGCTGGCACAGCTTCCTGCTGGGCACTGCCTCGGCCCCTCTGCCCTGTGCCAGGGTGGTGCTCATGATGTGAGCAGCCTCCCCCTGTGCTGTTGTGCTGGGATCCCCATTTCCCAGAGCACTGGTGTGAGTGGGAGTGCCACAGGATGATGCCTGTGTTCTGTGGCCACCAAAGCAGTGGCTGAACCCATGACCTCAACCATAATGCCATCCTTGGGCTCAGGCAGGGCACTCCCAGGGGAGGAGCCCATGGAAGTTGATGGTGAGGCCACTCAGAACCTCACACAGTCCCCTTGGCAGGAGGAGCTCACTGGCCCTGGAGGAGCTGCTGGTGGCTGTGTCTTGGGGATGGAGGGGCTCTCCTGGTGTGTCCTGGTGCCTCTTGTGCCCTGACCCCAAAACAGAGCAACAGTGGCACCGAGCCATGCATTCCTTCTCTGATGTATCTTGTCCCACACAGGTCAGTGCCATGGCTGCCATTCCTGGAAGTTTTTGGGGCTATCAGCAGCCTTTCCAGGATGTGCTTGGAGCTGCTGGATGCAAACAGCTGGCTCCCTCACGCCTGCCAGAACTGCTGCTGCTACTGCTGAGTGTTTTTTTTCCCCTTCTGGAGGGATCCTGTGGCTTCCTTCCCAGACCCTGAGACCTTGGAGCCACAGTCCAAGGCCACCAGTTTCCACCCTCTCCCGTGCTGCTGATTCATCACTGCTGGTTAGTTAAAAAATGGTAATCAGCAAATTACTGAAATATAAGTAAAATAAACAAGGTGGGCAGAGAACTGTGTATGTAGCAGGGGCCCGAAGGCCTTGGGTGTGCAGTGTGCTGGGCTCTGTTTGTCCCCTGCACTCGGCCCCAGCACAGGGCCTGTGCCTGGATGAGCACTCCCAGAGCAGGGGGTGAGTACCTGGCGCTGCCATAGCATTGCTAACCCTGCCAGTCCTGCATGCCTGCCCAGGCTGGTCTTGCAAGGCTGCTCTGCTCAGTCCCCCTCAAATGAAAGAGGGGTTGCTACACCCCAAGGCAGAGCAGGCAGACTGTGGGGCTGCTCCCCACCCCGTGGGGCCATGGCAGCTCCCACAGGTCTGCTGCCTCTTGCCTGGGTGCTCTGCAGCCTTTGTCCTCTCCAGGTAGCACAGCAGCTCTGTCCATCCTGGTGTTCCTTCAGCCGGGGTGTGCCTTTCTCTGCTCACACAATGCCCGGTTTTGAAAGGTCTCAGGTCGTGTGGCCGGGGGCAGCTCCCGGCGGACAGCCAGGCTGT